CCTCCTCCTCCTCCTCCTCCTCCTCCTCCTCCTCCTCCTCCGCCCCCCAGGGTCCAGCACGGGCCGCCGGAGGCCCGACCTCGGGAGAGCCGGCCAGCTCGATTGTTTTCAGGAGGGGAAGAAACACACAGACACAATTAATTGGGGGGCGGACAGAACCCCCAACAGTTACACGTCGATTCGTGAATTGTCCGTTTTCGGTTCTCGAGAGGGCGCCGCGGCCGTTATTTTCCAGGCTTGCGCCCGCCAGGTTTGGGCCTCAGGTCGATTTCACTGAACCACGTTTTACTAAAGGGAGGTCTGTCCATCCCCGATTAATCGTCGGCTCCCAGAAAAGATGGGGAAATATGGGCAGTGGGGAGGAGGACAGAACCCCAGAAAATGTATGGAAATATGGGGGATCCTGTGATTTGTGTGCGTGTTTACCTGTGTGTCCCAGGGCCCCTTCATGTTTGCAGCAGTTCGGAGGTGCTTGGTCTGCAGTCGAACCCAAGGCCCATCGGCCACGCACAGGGGGGGGGATAGGGGGGAGGGGGGAAGGCTTCTTAGTAAGAGCACCCCTGCTTCTTAGAAGGCGCGGGCCTCGTCTGCAGATCTGAGGTCGTCTGCAGATCTGAGGTCGGCGCCTTCTAAGAAGCAGCCTCCTTCTAAGAAGCCTTCCCCCCCTCCCCCTCCACCATTGTGCGCGCCGCCAAGCCCAGCCCCCGCCCTCCAAAATTTGGAGAGCTGTGCTGTCTCACTCATGTTCGGGCCGTCTCTTGATCTGTAGGCGGTGCGCCTGGTCTTTAGATCTTAGGGGAACAAAGAGTGACCGCACGAATTTCTTGGAACCGCGCTGGACCCCCCTCCCTGGCGCGCGGAGCGCGCCAGGGGCGGCGCCGGAGGCGCCGCCGGGGGACCAAGCGCCGATCCGAGAAATCCACGCGGACTGAGTCTGCATGTTTATGTCACTTCTCGTTCCCCTCACCTTGTCTCTGGAGCTGCCCGTGGCTTGGCTTCCTCTCGCGATGCCCGAGCGGCGCTGCGGGCGGGGCGTCGCTGCAGTTCTGGCAGGGTGGCAGGGCTCGTTTCGATACCTCCGATTCGAGCCGATTCGAGTTCAATCGCCGATCCGACTTGTCGATTCGATTCTGGGCTCTCCTATGATGGGCCTGTTTTCCACCACCACCACCACCACCACCACAAGTTGGACGGGGGGAAGGAGGAGGAGGAGGAGTCGGAGGAGGAGGAGGAGGAGGGCGAAGAGGATGAGGAGGAGTCGGAGGAGGAGGAGGAGGAGGAGGAGGGCGAGGAGGAGGAGGAGGACCAACCCCCTTCAACTTATGGTGGTGGCGGTGGTGGGCCCATCATCCTGGGTTGGGCGTCGGATGTACGCCGCCGCGCGCAGTGTTTTTTCCTCTTTCTTGTTTGCTGGGGGCCGCGCGGCGATGGTCTTCACGGGGTCTCTCTCCGGGTGGAGTCAGCAGCGGGCCGGGGGCGGGAATCCTTCCTCCTCCACCTCCTCCTCCACCACCTCCTCTTCCTCCTTTTCCGCTCGTTTTTTTGCCCCCCCCCTCCTCCTCCTCCACGTCCTCTTCTTTTTCCTTTTACTCCTCTTCCCCCTCTTCCGCCTCCTGCTCCTCCTGCTCCTCCTCCTCCTCCTCCTCCTCCTCCTCCTCCTCCTCCTCCTCCTCCATGCGAACGTTCCAGCAACTATTGCAGATGTACTGGGTACTGCGAAGATTTCCGGTCGGTGCCGCCGACCCCGAATGGCGACGACGACGACGAGAGCTCTCGGGGGCTCTTGGGGGTAGTTTAGGGGCCCCTTGTGAGGCTCTTGGGGGCCGTTTGAGAGCCTCGTGGGGGCATCTTGGAGTTTCTTGGGGGGGAGCAGGCGAACGATGCTGCATGTGTCTAGATGATTCGTTCGAAGCTTGAGAAAAAAACCTCGAAGGGATTTTAATCAACCCAACCCTGGATGACGGGCGAATGATGCTCGAGGCCCACGCCATTCCGCCGACCGGCCCCCAGAAGAGGGGTTACGTCCACGAGTGGGGCCTCTGGGGGCCTTTCTTGGGGACCCTCCTGGGGCCTCTTCTGCGCCTCTGGGGGGGCCTCTTTGGAGTGCTCTGGGTGCCTGCTGGCAGTCTCGCGGGTCCTCTTTGGGCGGAGGCACCGGCAGCTGTTCGCGCCTTGGCAACCTCTCTACGAGCTGCGCGGGCCGGGCTGCAAGCTGCAGTCGGCGGCAGAGGTGCGCGGTGCTGCCGCCTCCCTGTCGCGGCACCGGGTCCTCGGCAGGCTGTTCGCCTCCCTCGGCGTTCAGCCGTCCAGGCTGGGGTGGTTCTCCCTGGCCGAGCATGCACGCTGACTGTGCCGTCCGGAAATACTTCGACGAGGTAGGGAATGCCGCCTACAAGACACTTCGTCGCGCCCCCGCACGCGAGGAGTTCGTCGAGCGGTACAGGGCCCCCGCCAAGGAGCGATCCTACCGGGCTGCCCTGGAGGCTTTGCGGCGCCTCACGGCGGCGCAGTAGGTCTTTCCCCCCGCCCCGTCGCCCGGGCGCCGGCGCGCTCTTCGCCCGCCGCCCGCGCCTTGCCGCGCCGCGCCCCCCGCGCGCGGCCATGCGAGAGCGGGCGCTGGCGGCGCGCGGCGGCCGCGGTGGCCGAGGGCGACAGAGAGGGGGAAGGGGCCGCGCGGGAGGGGGGGGGGCGGCGCAGGGGGGGGGGGGGGAGGCGAGGAGGCGAGGGGGAGGAAGGAGAGGGCGAGAACAGAGAGGAGGGGGAGGGAGGAAGGAGGAGGAGGGGGAGGAGGCGCGGCGGAGGAGGAAGGAGGAGAGAGAGGAGGAGGAGGAGGAGGAGGGGGAGTTTTGGGGAGGACGGGGTGGGGGGGGGAGGGGGGGGGGGGTTGAGGCGAGCTACGCGCGCTCGCGTCATATCTGACGTCCCAACCCTCCCTCCCACCCCTTACCACGGCGCTGATTTTCTCTATCCGCGGACGCGTGTCGTCGCGGACCTGTGGCTCCGCGCGCGCGTGCGGAGTGGGCGGCCGCGCTACGCGCGCGCGCGCGCGCGGTTGCGGTTGCGGTTGCGGTCGCGGTTGCGGCTGCGGTGTCGTCGTTGGTGGCGGCGGTGGCGGTGGCGGCGGTGGCGGCGGTGCGCGTGCGTGCGCGCGCGCTGCGGTGCGACGTGGCGCGGCGTTTTGGCGGTTGGGCGGTGGGCCGGTGGGCCGGCGCAGCCGCCGACCCCTGCGCATCAGAAGGAAGAGGAGGTGAGGTGGAGGAGGAGGAGGAAAAGGAGGAGGAGGAGGAGGAAGATTAAGGGGGCGGAGTGAGGAGAGAGGGAGGAGGAGGAGGAGAGGAGGTGGAGGGGATGGGAGGAGGAGAGGAGGATAACAAGGCAGCGGAGTTTGAGGAGGAGAGAGAGGAGGATGACGAGGAGAAGGAGGGGCGCCGGCGGCAGCGGCATCAGCGGCAGCCATTAGCAACATAAGAATAGAGGGGGGCAGGGCGAGGGAATTTCCCGCTGGCTGGCCCCCCTCCACGGTCTCGGGCACTGTCTCCGCCGCAGCGGGCTTGGGCATGAACCCCAGGCAACCTCCGAGGAGGAGGGGGAGGGGGAGGGAAGGGGGGGGAGGAGGACGAGGAGGAGGAGGAGGGGGGGGAAGAGCAAGTGTAGGAGGAGGAGGAGGCGGAGGGGGGGGAGGAGGAAGAGGAGGGGGAGGAGGAGGAAGAGGAACACTGACCTTCGATCTTCGTGCGGATGTCGATCATCTTCTCGACGCCCTCCTGAAGTGTCTGAATGCCGTGGATCACCTCATCCTTGTCGACGGTCCCCCCCCTGGCTGCGGCGTCGGGCTGCCTGCGCAGCTCTTCCTTCCCTGCGGAGCAGGGAAGGAAGAGCAGGAGGGAGTCGTCGAACATTGAAGTTCCCACTGTTGTATTGCATTCGTTTTTTGATTTGTTACCGTCGACGATGTTTTTCGACGTTTTATCGTCGTCGTTTTTCGTCGTCTTCCCTTTTTTTTGTCATCAGGTTTTCGTCGGCTTCGTAGTCGTCGTCGTCGTCTTCTCTTGCCGTCGTCGTCGACGTCGATCGAAGTCGCGCATCGTCGTTGTCATTCGACGTCGCCTTGCGAATGACAAGGCAAAAGGAGGAGTTCGAGAAGGAAGACGCGGAGGGGCGGCGGAAGCGGCGGAGTAGAATGACCCAGGAGGTGGGAGGACAACGAGGTGTCCACACTTGTTGAAGCTCCAGGGTCTCTCGCACGCCACCTTGCGCTCGCGCCGCACCCCGCCTGCGCGGCGCTCCTCCCGGGCTGCCATGCCCGTGCGCACCGGCACCACTGCCCGCGCCAAGGCCTTGCTCTGCCGCGGCTTTCGGCGTACCCGCGTCGCCCGGACACTCGGGGCTCGCCACTCCAGCTTGCCCGATTCTTCGGAGGCGCGGGCACCCGCGCGCACGGCCCGCGTTCCAGGGCCCTTCTTGGAACTGTGCGCGCGGCTGCGGGTCGTCCGCCTCCTGGCCACCGTCGTTCAGAACGGCGATGAGCACCAGGAGAAGGCGTTGGACCAGCTCTTCAGCCGCAAAGGCAGAGGGCGCGCCTGCGCGGAGACTCACTTCGCCGGCCACCTGCTCGTGGCAGACGCGGCCGAACACTTCGTTCGTGCCTTCGACGCCACCTCCCAGCACCTCTTGCGGGCGCGCGGGGGCATGGCCGACGTTCGCCTTCTGGTGGCGACGGCTGTGCGCCTGCGAGGGAAGTGAGTGGATGGCGGCGACGCCGCGCGATTTCTGGACGCCGTCGCCTCCCGGTAGCGCTTGGCGTTTCAGCGCGGCGAAGCCGAGAGGCGCGCGCCCTCCCAGTGCCCGCGCGCTGACGCGCGGCTGGGCGAGGGCGCCGGCGTGCGCCGGGCCGGCAGAGTGTCGACCATCGCGCGGTTTCTCTCCGAATTCCGCTGGTTTCCGGAGCCCATCGACTGGTCGCCCGTTGGCTTCCAGCATCTGCTCGCGCGTCGCGAGTCTGATCTGGTTTGTCAAATGCCAGTTCGGGTTGCCTCGCTAGGGGCGGGCCATCTAGGGGCCCTTTTGGAGCTTTCTTGGGCCATCCTGGGCGCCTCTCTCGGCTGTCTCGGGGCCCTTTTTCCGCCGCTCTGCCGTCTTGGAACGTTCCCGGGGGCTTCCTGGGCAGTCTTTGACGCAGTCAAGACCAACAATATGAACGCGCTCAAGATGCACGCTTCCCCCGTGGATTTTGACCGTTCTTGTTTCGAGTGGCCCACTCGGAGGTCGTCTGGGGGCCCTCTCAGAGCCTCTTTGACGCCTCTCGGGTAGTCTTGAGGCCATCTTGGTTGTCATGGAGAAAGCCTCGCTGAGATTGCATTTTCCATCTTGGGCATCCCGGAGGCGACGGAGTGTAGATGAGCATGCCCTGGAGGCTTCGGGGGCGCGTTGGCGAGCTCGCCCCCGCGCCCGCCCCGCCCGCCCCGCCGCCGCCCACCTGGGCCCGCCGCCCTCTTTTATCGGATTTCAGACCCCAGGGGGGGGGAGGGGAAGGGGGGCAGCCGATCATTCCCGCGCGCCTTCGCACCCCTGGCAAGGGGGGGTCGGCTCATATTTCCTGGAGATAGTTGGGGGTTGCCGTCGTCGTCGTCATCCTCGTCGTCGTCGTCGCCGTCGTCGTCGCCAGTGGCGTTGTTGTCGGGTCGCGGCCATCGCCGCAGCCGACGTCGTCGTCGCGGTCGTCGCCGTTGTCGCCGTCGCCTTCGTCGTCGTCGTCG